GGGGAGAGATAGGGAAACGTTGGGGCCAACTGCGGATGGGCCTTGTGGAGCATGGAGTAATTAGTGTGTGATTACCATAAAACAAAAAATGGTTGTTAATATAGATAGTTTGTAAGATTAACTGAAACCACAAAAATAAGTGATAACATAGATGCAACATATATATACAATGCCATATATACCTTTTTAAATTTTCAGTAAAAAATGACATGAAATAAAAAAAAACGTGTAACTGATAGTAGTACTATAGGAGGTGAATAAACCTCTCAAGTATGACATGAAATAACTTGTTGCTACCCACACATTGTGTTTTCTTATTTATACATCATATCACGTGCTTTCTTTACAAAGTGATCCCGTGGATCAAGCAACTCAAAACACACACATGTTCATCTATAATTTCCAGGCGTTCTTTATACGAACCTCTTGAAACAGGGCTTATTGCTATCGATTCGATGATCCCTATAGGGTGCGGTTAGCGAGAGTTCATTACTGAGGACAGACAGACTGGCAAAACAACAGTAGCCACAGATACATTTCTCAGGAAAAAAGGGAAGGATGTAAGAAAAACGAGAGCGAGCCTTCACGAAAGAAAATGCAAGTGAAAGAGAATTGTAAAAATGTCCTAAAAGTGGTGGTTGTTTTCTTTATGGATCGGGTAGATCCATATTTTCTGAGGTGGAGACGCTACCACTACTACAACCACTATCACTATCACTACCACTACCATCACCGCCACTACTAGTCCTACTACTATCAATGGCACGCTTTGGGGTTGGTAAGAATATGGTCATTATTGTAGTTAGTCGATAGTGGACTTGAATGCTTTACACTTTGATTTTTTGCTCGCTTCAGCATAACTTGGGTCTTTTATGACTTCTTTATTGGCCGGCAAATTTGTGTGTGTGTGTGTGTGTGTGTGTGTGTGTGTGTGTGTGTGGGCGCGCGCGCGCCTTCATCTTGGCTGTGTTCATTCTATCTGTGGAGCTCATTGTGTTTGTATTATCTTGATGCTTCATTTTGAGTCATTAAATTCAGTCTTCGTCGGAGAAAAACCAAGGTGAGGGACATGATCGACATAAATTACTTGTCTATCATATATTACTTCTACAATTTTTCCAGTTGGAATGCCCAGTTACCTTACCAGTGTCTGCTGACAAATGGCTAAAAATAGCAGTTTTACTACCAGCATGACTCAAATATAATGCTCACCCCCTCTCTCATAATTTAAACCCGTAAGAGATCCTCTGCATTCACTTTATTTCCATCGTATCTCGCGGTAGTTATGTGGAATAAAATATCAGGAGAAATGATTATAAGTATAAACCATATACTGGAAATGTACATGGTAAAACATACAATAAAATCTCGGTTCTACACAAATGGCTAAAAATAGCAGTTTTACTACACAAATTAAACTTCTCCGCTCTCTCATTTCACACACACCTCCTACCTTGTACTGCTACAAGGAATTAAAACCCAACATCTTTGGGCAAAGTTAAAAAAACCAACTTACATCGACTTTCTAGTCTTCAACATACCTGCACGGCATTTTGAAATGAGATAGGAGTACCAGGATGCATCTTCCTATAGATTCAAAGCGTGAGAGTAGGAGCCATGGGGAACTTAGCAATATCTACGACACCCCAAATTTGTGCAACGGAGACTCGCGAAACAGTTTTTGACAGCTACGCCCTTATCCTATAAAGCTCACCTTTTTCCTTGGCCTGAGAACCACGTATGTGATGGAGATGCGATGGTAATAAGGCGGACCAAATGATAAATCATACATTTTGCAAGACAATGGCGCGTGCCTATGAAGAGAATAGAAACCCAACATCTTGTCGTGCCCCGCCGTAAGTTTTCGCACCGAGGCCTTCTCTGGAAAAATATGTTAGACCAGTTTTTTTAGTAAATTTACATATTTCTATTTGTACTTCAATCGAAATATATGTTCATATTTTCTGCCAAAGCTAAAATTATATCAAAACATACATACCGATCTGTATTAAGAAAATTCTAAAATTTTAGAACTTTTAGCACTAAGATAATTTCTGAGATACACATTTTCGTCCACATTTTTACTAAAATCACTTGAATAAAATTAGATTTATCTATTTGAACTTTAATGAACATATGGAGTTCATATTTGCTACCGAAGTTGGATAGTTATCTAAATTCGGATACCAAACTGTATTTGTAAAATTCTACTGCCTCTGATCCAAAAGAAGTGTCGCAGCTTTAAATTAAGGTTAGTTAAACCTTAGCTCAAAGATGTGACACTTATTATGGGTCGGAGGGAGTACAGTTTTTGATGGAAAAAGACTGAAATTATGTGGTTGTGCGATATTGGCAAGCAGCTGACGATCAACTATCCACTTTCAATGTGACACAACATAACTTTCTTGTTATTTTTTATACCATAAGCATTTAGTCCACGTACTCCAAGCTGAAGGCTATCACTAAAATTTACTAAAACTGCACAAGTAATTGATAACATAGACTTACAATGACATCAATTTTGTAATATTCAAACAGTGTCTGATTAAAGTTTTTAATATTCAATCTAAAATGCCTGAAACAATAAGAAAAATCTGTGCAATTTATAGTTGCAATGCAGGCAGTGAACAAATCTCTCAATCAGGAAATGAAAATAAATTGTTTATTGCCGCAAGTTATGTTTGCTTATTTTGGTCACATTATATTATTTCTTTCCTGAACTGATCTTGCGATTCTGTCAAGTCAAAAACACAAAAACAACATATTGTAGTTAAAGGCTTTACCAACCATCATCGTGGGGAAAGTCATCGTCAAAACTGTTTTTCATAAACTAAATAAGCATCATCTTTTTTTCCCTGAAAAGTTACCCATGATTGTCTTTTTTTTCATGTGGATGAGGATACAACATAGAAAAAGAAAATTGATCATCCCACGGTTACTTAAGCCATTCCGGATCGAGCTATGTTGAGATGAAAAAGGTCGAACTTCAGTATAAATGCTTATATGTAAATATATTTCAGGTATAGTATATTTTTGGAAAAATTCAAACACCTGACTCAAATTAGCATGGAGAGAACATGTCCATCCGTGCGCCTCCTGTAAATAAGGAGAAAATTCTATTATTCCCACGGTCCACCTATAGCGAAAAGTAGATATTAACTTTCTATTTGTGCAAGTATTTAGTGCCGCAGTCCACTCAGCTTTCTTATGTCGTACCCTGTCAGAACGCCGGTTTATTACTGTGATTGGATCCATAATTACAAGTTCATACTCTCCGATCAATTTATAACAAACATGAAGTATATTGTACGTACTATCACAACCAAGAGTATTCCAATTTTTTGCCCTACAAGCTAACAACCAGTGTCTAATTAATTGACATCTCGCTGGATGATCTTTCATGTACACTGTTTGAAATTTACCTTAATCATTCTAGAAGTATATTGCAGTGTATTGGATGATGGTGATTTAAGCAGTTCTAAGTATATTCTGATTTCTTATAATTAAGCCAGTAGGTGTTTTTGTTGGTGGTTGCATTCACTAGAATTCTGTGTGTTTCGTTGAGGAACCAAAGTGAGTGAAATGCCATAGTTCCATTCCTAGTAAATTGTTGGGTTCATTCCTACGTCTTGCTTGGAGCAACAAACTGGAATGGAATGCTTTCTCAGTCTTGCATATATCAAAAGTGCTGAATAACATGCGCACGCAAGTAGAGCTGATCAGCTGAGTATACAATCCATATATCAAAAGTACACATGGTACAAAGTACAGCAAACTCGGGGAGTGGAAGAACAACCAAACATCGATACAACAGTGTGGCCGGCCATGCAGAGCTGCTTGGACGTACGTACTCCTCTCTCTCTCACGCAGTGAGATAATATGAGAGCATTTATTCATATATATATGTGGGTGTGCGTGTGTGTGACCTCAACGTACTAAGCGTAGATCCAGCAACGATGGCGTAGGGGACGATGGCAACAGCGATGGCAGCAAGTGCTCGATCAGCGAATCTTAGAGCAGTCGACCGAAGAGCTGATGGCGTAAGGGACGCTAACGCCGCACTTTGTGGGGATGCCGGCGGCCTTGCCAGCGTTGAGCCCAGCAGCAGCGCTCTTGATGCACTTGCACGCCGCTTGCTTGTCAGCGGTGCTCCGGGCTGAGCTGGCTAGACTCCTAACGCCGCTGCAGCAGGCCGCAGATGGGCTGGCGCCGTTGCCGCGTGCATAGGAGATGCAGGGGCTCAAGGCAGAGCTCACCTGACCGCACGATACAGCCGCCTCCGTGACTGCGAGGAGCATAGCAGCCACCACGGCGACGAGCACGACCTGAGCAACAGCAGAACGGGCCATCTCGATCGAGCTAGCAATAGTAGTGGTAGTGAGCTCAGGCAGAGATGATGAGATAGCTAGATTTGCTAAGTGATTGTAATGGTGAGGAGTTTCGTGGGGATGCATGGGCTTAAATAGGGCTTCTTACCATCACGGGATTCCATTCGGAATAAACAGTGTAGTTTCTTGGTGTCAAGTATTGTGTCTACGTGTGCCAATTCAATTGATGCGAGCAAATGCATGAATTTAGGTTGTTGGATGTTGGAATTGATTTATGGGTGTTAATGCATTTAGGAGATGGTTGGTTGTTACCGTTTGGTTGGGCCGATGGATGGACCAAGCACTACATCCAGGCGTTCTAGCGGTGGAATGTGGTTGATTAGCGTGTACACAGCAGATTAATTATGAGACTAAGACATGTACGCAGTCATATAGTGGCCGACCATGGAGTAGTTGAGTGCATCTATGATGGTGAGCGCGACCATTGAACTGTGCATATACGTACATCATCATTTTTATCCAATAGCTCAGCTTCAAAGCGGAAACCGGATTTGCTTCCAATAGAACCACAGCCGTGCATCTCGGAAAAGGGAAAAAAATGTTTTTTCCATCCACAAAAGGTACTGATTTACTTCTCGTGGAGTCAAGAATTTGCTTATGCGAGAAGGAAAAATCTTGGATTTTTTCGACCATGAGAGGCACTAATTTACTTCTCGTGGAGGCACGGATTTGCTTCCACGACAAGCACGGCCGTGCCTCTCAGAAAAAGACAAAATATGTTCTTTTCCTTCCACGAGAGGCACTAATTTAGTTCTCGTGGAGGTGCGGATTTGCTTCCGCGAGAAGCTTGGTCATGCTCTTGGAAAGGGAAAACCGTGCTCTCGGTTCGAGTTTTTTTCGTCCGATTTTTTCGTGGAAAAAAGTTCGTCGAAACCTATCAACATACGATCTAGTTTTGAAGATCTCGACGCGAGGAATCCAACGGTGAAATGGTTCAGGATTTGGACACATGCTTGAGAGATAAAACATTTTGAATAAAAAATCTACGAAAAAGGAAAAATCCCAGGTTGCGACAAGTGGCGCACATGCAGTTCGACACATGTTGCACCATGGGAAGGTGTCAGTGACATTTACAAAGAGTACTCTTTAATCAGTGATTTCGGTAGTTGAGTGCATTAATTATGATGAGCTCGACAAGTGAACTATATCAATCTAGTTGTGCATGTGGTCATGCATGCCTGGGGATCATCTACCTTGCCTTACTTGGTCCCAATATCACAGCTTAACATTCATTGGTACCATATTCAGAGCTACATTTCGAATTTTTATTTGTACATCATGCATGTTTTATCCGAAGGTGATCCCACGATTCTAGCAACTCAAAAACACAAAAGGACGCATGTTCATGTTAAGACCTTTATGTCCATCATCTTCTTGGTCGTCGTTACTATTATAGTCATTATTATTGTTGTTGTTGTTCTTGTTGTTACAATTTATTTGTGGGGAACGCCATTGCCCGTCTTGTTCTAAGAGAAAACAAAGGAACACTATCTCTTGTTTCCTCACAAGATACCCTTGCCTGTCTTTTTCGTTCACGTGGATGTGTGCACCACCTTCAGAAACGAAATTGATCATTCCACGTTAACTCTAGTAATATATCAATGGAACTAAGTTGGTACAAAACCGGACGATATTCGATCTAAATGCATATATAAATATATTCTTAGTTAATATATTTTCAGTTGTTTTACAAATACACATTCTAAATTACCACAGAGCAAAAATGTGCACTTGGGAGACTTGTAATTCAGCACCAAATGTCACTCTCCCCTTGGTTCACCTGGAGCGAATAGATGTTAATTTGCCTCTGTGCAAGTATTCAGTGCCATAGTCCACTCGGCTTTTTATTAATGGTAAGTGCCTCATCCGTCAATGTAGCAGCATGTCTCATGATGATTTAGTAATGCCGATGGATGCGTCATTAGAGAATCTCCAACCACAAACACACTAAGCAGGCCCCGAAACACCCGCGGACGCGTCCGCGGACAGTGACTGGACAGCACAGCAAAAACGTCCGCCACAACCATAAAACTCAAATTTCGTACCTCCGTACCCAAATAGCACAGCCATGTAAATAAAAACATATGTACTACGTACATAGCTAAAAGAACTATTGTTGGAGATGTTGACGGTCTCCTTGCCTGGGGCTAGGTAGATGGGAAAGTGCGGTAGCTCCTACGCCTGTGAAGACTCTGGCCCCTCCTCCACCTCCGCCTTCCCGTCCAATTCTATGAACAGTGCTTCCATCGCCGCCTGTTTTATTTCGATGAACTGTCGGTTAGCCTCGACATAGACCTCGTCCTAGATGGACTCATGGACGGCGGTCTGTTCTACCATCTCCATCGCTTGGGCGGCCTCATACTCCACCTTGGCATCCGCCACGGCGAAGCCCGCAGACAGCCACACCTCCACCTACTCCCCTCTGGCTCCGCTACCTCCTTCTTCACGGGCTCTGCTTTCGACAGCTGCTCCCCCTCCTCCTTCTCCTCCTCCTCCTGCCCCACCTGCTCCTCTTCATCCTCCTCCTCATCCGCCACCACCTCCTCCATGAGATAATACGAAGGCTTTTTGTGTGTGTGTGTGTGTGTGTGTGTGTGTGTGTGTGTGTGTGACCTCAACGTACACATGGTGACCATTGGTTGATCAGCAAATCTTAGAGCAGTCGACGGAAGAGTTGATGGCGTAGGGGATGTTGACGCCACACGCTTGGAGGGAATGTCGACGGCGTTGCCAGCGTTGAGCCCACCGGGAGCGCTCTTGATGCAGTTGCACGCCACTTGCTCGTCAGCGGTGCTCCGTGCTGCGCTGGCCACACTGCTGACACGGCTGCAGCAGGCCACAGTCGGGTTGGCGCCGTTGCCGCTGGCATAGGAGATGCAGGGATTCAAGGTAGAGCTTACCTGTCCACAGGAGATGGCCGCTTCGGAGGCTACGAGGAGCATAGCTAGCGGCCACTAGGGCGACCAGCATAAGCTGAGCAACTGCAGCATGGGCCGTCTTGATCTAGCTAGCAATAGTAGTCAACTGAAGATGATAAGAAGGCTAGATTCACTAGGTGATTGCACCGGGAGAAGTTTCGTCGTGGGGGTA